AAAAAGACATGAACGGTCATACCATTGACCAAAAAGGTCCCTATACAAGATCAAAATAATCATAAGCATAAACAAGGAAAGCAATAAAAGATTGAGATAAGACACATACAAGTAACCACATCCAGCGCTGCACGGGCCTCATCGGTGGCATCTGAAATGCCATACTCTTCACCACAGGAGCCTCCGCCTTGCCCTGGCGGCCATCAATAATCCTCAATATGGCTGGCACGGGTGCCGCCACAACTCCCCTGACAATCTCGGACAATCGGCCTTTTTATGGCCGGTTTGATTGCAATGGAAGCAAATCAAATCACTCATGGGGCAGTCCCTACTCATGTGGCCCGATTGGCCACAACTATAACAACGTGAACCCGCCGCTCAGCATGCCCCACCATGCGGCTTGCCACACTTGTCGCAACGGCCCCGACCCTGCTGGCCTCTAGTGCGAGCATCAGAAGTTTTGGGCAACTTCGCCTGGCCCACAACTGTATGTACCTGCTCCGACTTCCGCTTTGTCCGAAGCTCCAACTCAATATCCAGCTCATGGGCCTTCTCGATCATACCATTCAGGGTCTTGCACCCTGCAAAGCTCACGAACTCCTTGATATCCTCCCTCAACATGTCATGGTATCTCGTCTTCCTCATCTCCTCATCCACAACGTACTGTGGGACCAACAAAGCCCTCTCCCTGAATTTTGCGGTAATTTCCGCCACAGTCTCAGTAGTCTGGAGAAGGTCCTGGAACTCCCTTGCCAACTGATGCACCTCTATCATTGGCGTAAACTCCCTCTGGAATCCTTGTATAAAATCCTCCCAAGTCATGACTGCCACTGCCGTTGACCTTACTTCTTGGCTAACCTCGTCCCACCAGTCTCGTGCTCGGTCCCTCAGCAGGCAGGATGCTAATCCCATTTCCCCCCCCCCCTCAGGGCATAAACTCGTCCGCTGATCATTCTCCATGTCAAAGATCCAATGTCGACTAGCGATGGGGTCCTTAGCCCCAAAAAAATCAGGAGCTCCACATGCCTTGAACTCCTGGAATGTGGCAGCTCGAGCTCCTATCTGACCCGCGACAATCTCAGCTCGAAAGGTCTTAAGCCTCTCATCCATCAGCTCCATAATCCCCTCCTTGATGGTACCGAACAACACAAGGGTAGCATCCAAGATACCACACGTAACCTCAGCCGAAATGAACTCGCGTAGACGCTCATCAATCGGTTTTGTGCCAGAGCTAGAACCTGAACCAGAACCAGAACCAGAAGAAGAATCTCCTCGAGTAATCATCACCATCCTCCAAACTGAAACACAACATATACACAATTAGCAAAGGACTCAAGGGGATTCCTCTGCACAAGTATCCTTAGAGTTTCCATGTCTGCTCTTGTATCAGGTACAAGTCTTGTGCTTCTAGTAGTACGGGCCCAATACTACCTTTCACACCTACCTGTACCTTCCTCAAGTTCAGTCCTAATTCCTCTAAGTCGCCACACTAAAACCATATACCAATCCTATGTTATACAACATACATATCCTAGACTTTCCTAGGAATTATCAACTCCCACCACTCGCAATACCAAGAACCTCAACCAACACCGCTGGTTTCCTTATGCATGCAAATCATACACAAAATAGAATCACACAGACTGTCGAATGATGATTCTACCCTAAGTCACAACCAAACAAGGAACAAGAAATGAGGCCAAAGCGATCATTCTAGGGCTATACAATCCTAATCGTGTACAACTTTGAAAGCATAAGCTTAGTAATTAACTGAATCGATATCAATTCCAAGTAATACATAGCATCAAGTTCCACTAGGCTATAAGGCATCACGCAAATTAGGCAATTCTATCATATGATCCCGGAAGGTACCTTATCCCTAACCTAGCATGCAATCCTCATATCAAGCATACTACTCATAATACATAGGTATGGGTAGTTTGGGAACCACTTACTTGAGCTCGGCTGATTGCACACATCATACCCCGTCTTCTTAACAAAAATCTTTTTAAAATTTAAATTTAATTTTTCTTAAGAAAAATTATCATTTCCTCAATTTGAGTTCTGACACACTCAAAAGTATATCCGAATCCCTCAAACCAAGGCTCTGATACCAACTTGTAACAGCCCAAAATAGTGGTGAAAAATTTTCATTTAAAAGTCTATCAAATCATTCATTAATTGTTCTAAACCAACATCAAGTCATAATATTCAAAAAATCATAGTACATTTATTTCAAATGCGGAAATCATGAAGGGAGGATGTTGTGCCATCACGTCGGGCCCTTCCCTTTCGAATCGCAAGTACCTAAAACCATAAACATAAACCGTAAGCACAAAGCTTAGTGAGTTCACCAAAATACTACATACATAAAGCATACAAGTGCCATGGGCTACCTCCATGGTCTTTCATTGCAATGCTGAGGGCCAAAATCCCAGTCTTACATATAAATGTCATGGGCTACCCCCATGGTCTTTCCTTGCAATGCCGATGGCCAAATCCTGGTCTTACATACAAGTTTCAGGGGCACGATCCTGGTCTTTTTAATACAATTTCCAGGGGCCAGATCCTGTTCTTTCATGCAAGCATCACAGATACAACTAGCATTCCACATAACAAGTAATGGGTCGACATTGGTGCCTTCGACCCTGAATATAGTGTGAAAACTCACCTTACAGACAGATAAGTAAACTGAATAGCACGACGCTCCGAGATCAACGTTACCAATCACCTTAATAAATTCAAGGGCACAATCTTAGCATATATTTCAACATACCTAAAATACCCTAGGTCAAACCCTAGTAAAATCCAGGCCAAAGTCAACCGAGTTGACTCAGTGAGTACGCGGGACGTACTCGTTACGTACATAGGGCGTACTACGCGGTTGACCAGGGATCAGGGAGCTGACCACATAAGCACAACGTACCCCTTGGTACGCCCAACGTATGTGGCTGCTCTCCACTTAAGCCATTAAGTGCTTATTTCTTAAGCATTTACGTCCAAAATTCAGATCTAGGCTCAAAAGGATGTCCTTAACCATAAAGTTTCCAACTTTATGGTTTAGCATGGCTATTAAGACCTTAGCTTCAAAAACCCTAACTTCTTTACCTATTAAGACACTCTAGCTCATGCATGGAGAGAAACTAGTGACCCAAAACACATTTTTATGACTTAGCACACCCTACAACCTCTGAAAGGACAACTCAAACGTCTTGGAGTACCTCCTAGTCACAAGGATCAAGTTTGGGACAAAAAGGTGACAACTTTGAGCTAAAACTAGATCCATATGAAATATACACCAAGATTAAAGCTTTTTACCTCCATAAGATGCACAATGAAGAGAAAATGTTGGATCCAAAGTCTTGAGTGAAACACCACAACCTCAAGGTTCTTCCTTCTACACCAAAGGCTACAAAGTGACACCAAAAGGGCTCTTCAAGCTTCACAATGCAGTCATACACATTATGGTTTCGAAATGAGGAAGGGGGCTGAAGATAAGAGGGTGCATGAGTCTATAAAGGTGCTTAAATAGGGTCCAAACCCTAAAAATTAGTGTTTGTATACTGGCTACGTACGCCTTGCGTCCAACATACACTTAGCGTACTAGCACAGAACTGAGTACGTCCAACGTAGCAAGGTGTACGCCCAACGTACTAAGCTGCATCCAAAAATAACAAAAATGCCATTGCAGACTATTCTTGTAAACAAAACACAACCCAAGGGTTAAAAGCGAATACCTGAAAATTATAGATGTTACAACATTTGTATTTGTATATTAAGTATTGATAATAGTGTTGTTAAACAAGTTTGAATTGATTTAATGATATTTTATTTTTTTTATCTTAATTGTCTTATTATTATTTTATATTTCATTTAAAAAAATTGGATATAATTTATTAATACAATTTTTTATGTTAAATAATGTCACTAAAAGCATGAAAATATTTTTTTAGTAGTTAAATAGTGGCTTAAAAATAGTGTCTCTAAAATCTACAAGTGTTTATAATAAAAAAGTGTTACTATAATCCAATAAGGTTGCAGCGGCACAACCAAAAAGTGTCACTAAAGGCTTTTTGTGGCAGCGCTTTTAGTGACACTTTCTTTTTTGTGTCGCTGATTACATCGGGGCCTTTAGTTTTTTTGTGGTTTTTAATGACATTTTTTCTATGCAACTAAATGTAATTTTATTTGTAGCGATTCCAGCAAAATCCACATCCTCAAACCTATGTTCTACTCCAATTGTGTAACTAATGACATGGTACCTCGTAAACATACCTTGAAAATAAAGATCGATATTTATGTAAACAACCATAGCAAGAACCCAGATAAACGGTTTTTTAGAAAAAAAAAATAAAAAAGGGAAAATGATAGAAAACAATTGTGACTTATGTTCTCATTCGGCTTGTAAAGAAAGAAAGCATTAGGTAAATTATCGTCAAAATACGTGGCAATTGAAGTAACAACTCATTTATTGTGCGACACATTAAACCTACT